ATTTCATTCTTTCTCTCCAGTATGCATAGCCATAAAATCAGGGGCTTGAAGTACTTGGCTATATTCTTCGCAATACACATTAAAAGGAACACAGAACTATAAAGGTAAAAACATATGCATCTAGGGACTACCTAAAATTATCTCCTACCCCATTTTGGGAAACATTGCCATTTGGAAATTTCTCTGGTGTCCCCCACTAGTCTGGGGAATCCTTAACATCAGGCACCACGGGTTGTTCACAGCAGCCTCTCTGGCAATAGAATAGCGGTTGGCATAGAGTGGGCATTAAGTGTTTGTTCAGAAATGAAAGGACAGTGAGATGCCAACCATAACATTTCAGAGCCGAGGCGCTGCTCTTCCAAAGCCAAACTCGGTTCAGTTCAAAGATGACGGGTGTCAGGGTTTCCCCGCATATGGTAGCAGTGGAACAGACCATAAAACATTACCCACAGGGGAGCTGTCCCCTGATGTGGGGATACCAATTAATGAGCTTAGGGGGCAAGTTGAGGTCTTCCAAGCAAACAGCAAGCAAGTGAAATCTCTGCCTCACTTCTCTTGCTGTGGCCGATGCCATCTGCTAGTTTTAAAAATAATTTTTAAAAGCAAGTGTTTTGGTTCTCTTCAACATGCAGCAAAGACAGATGCTATTTTTAGGCTTGTTTTCTATCAGCCCTCCCCCCCCCCCAAAGACCAAGGGCCTTAGGGTCCCCCCCCCCCCCCCCAAAGAGCTAGGGTCTGAGTGTTTGGAGTTCTGGCTTTCTGTCAGAACTGCTACCAACTTATATGTGACCTTTTTTTTTTTTTTTCCTGCAATTCTGATAGGTCTTGGACCCCCAGAACAGAAGCGATCATTCCACCTCCCTCTCTACCTCTCATTAGGGATATTGAGAGGGTGAAGCAGTATCAGTCTGAGAAAAAAAAAATCATTTAGAAAAAACATATTGGTTCACGTGTGCTCTTCCCCTGTAACCTGCCAGCTTCTGTGTTGATGCGCGGCCAGATGGCTGAGTTTCTTCTGCCCTCCTGGACTAGAAATTCTTTGAAGGGAAACACATCCGTACAACCTCTACCTCAGAACCTTACAAGATGTAGTCACTAGAGGCAACATAACGAGAGTTTTCAAGTGTAGACTCTGGAACTAAACTACTGGGGTTTAAATCCTGATTCTTCAGCTGAGTAACCATTGGCAAGTTACTGACCCATTCTGAGCTTCAACTTTTATATGTTTAAAATAGGGAAAATGACAATACTCATCATATTGGGTTGTTTAGAGAGAAAAATGAGGCAAATTATATAAAACACTTAACTCAAGTCAGCTGGTGGGTGGCATGGTGGTTAAGGTGGCCAACTGCACGGTTCAAGTCCCAGACCCGATGGCTTGTAAAACATACTGGATGTATGTGTGTGCGTGCCCAAATCCCTAAAGGAAAAATGGAGGAGAAGGAATTGCAGCATGACTGTCCCCCAGGGAGGGGGTGCTTTCTTACTTTCCCTTTCTCTTTCTCGTCAATGAGTGCACGTGCCCGCTAGCAAAAAAAAAAAAAAAAAAAAATAAAAAAAAAATTAAAAACAGAAAAACACAGTCACATAAATAAATAAATAAAGCCCCTATAATGGTGGCTTTATTTCATTATTATTGTTATTATAATTATTAGACACTCAATACACCTTTAACAAATGTATATATGACTATTATATATAAGACAAACTTTTATGCATTGTAAGGACGTTTTTGTTTTGTTTTGTTTTGCATAGGATGTGTGTGTGCTCACCAGAGAGATTCAGAAAGACACAAAGAGGGAAAGTGAGATGTCCACGCTGCAGCCTTCCTTCCTTGCGGCCATGCTGCAATCCCTTCTCCTCCATTCTCCTCTTGGGATCTTGGGCATGCACGCACACGCACCTGGCATGAGTTTTAAGCCACCGGGTCTGGGACGTGAGCTGCGGTAGACTACATGGGAGTCGAGCGACATAGTCATTATGCTAACTGCTGGTCCCAGGAAGACTTTTAAATAGTGAATTAAATATGTTACTGGTCAAAATCATGTTAGACACTTTACGTGTGTCATTTTGTTTAGTACTTTTGGGGGGTAGGTAAAGAACATCCACTTTACAGGTGAAGAGGAAAATGGAAACTAGGGAGGTGCCATGATTTGGTTGTCCTCCAAAAGTTTATGTGTTGGAACTTGGTTATATTATAAAATTGTTAAGTGAAAATTTAATCCCTCTATGGTGTCCTAGGATGGGACTTTGGGTGTGATGAGGTCACTGGGGAAGAGTGCCTATGATTGAGTTCTGGTAGGTTTATAAGAAGGGAAAGAAGACCAGAGCAGGCAGAAAGTCCTGGACAGCAGCTCTGCTCAAGAGTCTCCCCTCCACCATGTGTAGCCTCACCAGATGTTGGTCCCTGGAGTTTGGACCTGTAAACGGTCAGTTGAATAAGCCTCTGTTTCCTTCTAAATTACGTAGACTGGCTATCTCTGTTACAAACACAACAGGACTAAAACAAGAGGTTATGTAATTGTCCAGAGCTCAGAGTAATGGAATGAAAAGTAAAATCCTGTATTGATTTAAAAAATGGATACTTTGCCCTATGCTTCACCTCCCTACCACTTGTTCTGCTGGTTTTATAACCCTTCACAATAGCTTTGCAACTTTTTAAAAGGTTTCTTTCTTCCATGAGTGAGAGACAGGCACAGGGAACAGGGTATTCACACCACAATATACCCCCAGCTTTGCTTACCAGCATGCACTCTCCCACCTACTTAGGGAGGTCTCCAGATGCAGCCGTCCCATGGGGGTCAGCCTCACTGAGCATTGTGTTGCCGCTGCTGCACCACCATCCAGCCCCTCAGCTTTGCAACTTTTAATTGAAAACCACTGTTTACATTGTGACTCAGCCATACCAACATAGAAGGACAACCAAAACATGACATTTCAGAGAATAATACTTAGAGTGCTCTCTATAGGGTACGCTGATAATTTTTGTTCTCTTTCTCTTTGTTTTTTAAAAAATTGATCATGAGCCACCAAACTGATTTAATGATCAATTAAAGTGTGATGCAACTTGACTTTGTTCTGGCCTAGATAACCAGATAACTAGGCAATGCCAGGCTATAATCTTGTTGTGGGCACATTTACAGTTTGCAGTTCTGTGCATTTTATTTTTCTGGTTTGGTGTTTTAGAGATTTTTGCTACAGAGCATGTGGGTTCGCCAGAGGGACAGAGAGAGAGACAGAAAGTGAGAAATCACGCCTCCCCCTCCCCGCCCCCCGAGGGATGGCCACATCGCAATCCTTTCTCCTCCATTCTCCTCTTGGGATCTTGGGCACGCACGCACATGTACCTGGTGTGAGTTTCAAGCCACCAGGTCCAGGACTCTAACCATGGTCAGCAATGTGGGCGTCCAGTGCCTTAACCACTTACCTGTTGACTAATGATCACCTCCTTCAAGTCTTTGCTGCAGAGTCTCCTTCTTAACAACCAGCTACCTGCTGGCCCCCTGTGAATACTTTATACAAGCCCCTCAGTCACTCTGTAAGAGGTGACTTGTTATATTATTTTCATTTATAAATGAAGATATCAAGGCCCAGGAATATAAAGGGATCTTCCCAAGACTATCCAGCTAGAAAGTGTGGCCCCAGAGCTTCAAACCAACCTTTTGACCACCTGACTGGTGCTTTGCAGGTTCTCTAACTTCTACTACCTCTAGGAGTATGCATTCATTCCCTGAATTAACATGCATTGATGGCTCTTGTTGGCCAGGCTTGGTGCTGAGTTCTTGATACAATTTGACATGGTCCTTAGTTTTACAGAACTTTCAGTCATATATGCATTAGTTTCGTTTAGAGTGAAAACCAAAGTCTTTGTATTAGTCATTAGATCTTATGTGATCTGAGTCCCTCATCACTTCTGTAACTTCCTCTCCTACCCTGTCTCCCTTCTCTCTTCTCCAATCATACTGGTTCCCCATGGTCCTAAAGCACATCACGTGCCCTAGTCTCAGGGCTTTTGCACAGACTGTTTCCTTTACCTGGTAAGCTCTTGCACTAGATTTGTATAGTTGCCTTCATCACCTTCTCAAGTCTTTGCCGCAAATCTCCTTCTTAATAAGATTTATTATGAACACTTTATAGAAATTGTAACTCCCATGATCAGCAGATGGTGTAGCAGTTATATTGCTGGACTCCCACATGGCTGAACATGGTTTGAGTGAAATTTGGGAAATGCCTACACAAGTGACTCTAGAGGTCTCAAGTAAAGTTGCAGTCAAATTACTGGTTGAGATTGCAATAATCTGAAGGCTTGACTGGGGAAGAAGGAGCTGTTTCCAATGTGGTTCATTCACATGTCTAGGGATTGATGCTGACTGCTGGCAGGAGGCCTCAGTTCTTTGCTAAATATACCTTTCCATAGTGCTGCTTGAGTGTCCTTATGACATGGTGGCTGGCTCACCCCAGAGCAACCAGGCTGGAAGCTGTACAATCTTTTAGGACTTAGTCCTAAAAGTCATGCATTGTTTTTACACTATCCCATTTGTTACCCAAGTCAGTCCTAGTCATTGTGGAAATGTGCTACACAGGATTTTCCACTAGAAAGTGGAAAATCGTTGGGATCCAGCATGAAGGCTAGATATCACAGCTACCGTTATCTGGAATACCATTTACTTAATACTTTCCACTTTTTAAATTCAAATTATCCTTATCCTAAAGAATGACACCAATTCAGCCACAAGATTAATGTGTTAATTATATGTCCCACATGAACACATATAAATTTGCAGTTGCTGAGTTTTAAAATGATTTCTGTCCTCTCTGTGCTTGCTTGCATACTTCCAAAGGGACAAGTGTTTTAGTTGGGGGCACATTAGGCCTGACAAATAGCGATCTGTCAGGAAATCTTGGTGATTTTGATCATAGATGCTAGCTATTCCTTATTCTCCACTTAGAACCTATGAAGCTGCAGGGTGCTGGTTTTGATGTTTGCTCTTGTTCTCCAGGACCGCCTGTACTTTGTTATGGAGTATGTGAATGGAGGTGACCTCATGTACCACATCCAGCAAGTTGGCCGTTTCAAAGAGCCTCATGCTGTGTAAGTGAAATCGGGTGCTATGCTTTTCCCTTGGGATAAATGAGACTGGGTTTTTAGGCAAAGAGAGACTTCGAAACTCTCTATATGCAACTTTGTGAGAAATATTCGACCCGGGGGAAAAAGTATTTTGCTTGATATGGAATGCTTCTCTTTTTCCTAACATCATCTAAGAACTTGAAGCTTAAAAATCACAGATATTTCTTTATTTCAAATTCTTGTCCCTGACTCCTAAGGAAGATTCTCTAGCTTCCTTGGGGAATGTCATTGTAGGTTTCATGTTCATTTCAATGTTACACATATTTATTGAGAACTTACTATGTGTAGGTCCTAAGTGCTTAACAAACATGGGCTTGAGGGCAACTCTGGGAGTTAGATATTACCAATCTGCTTTACAAATGAGAAAACTGAGACCTAGAATTTTGGCATCGTGTTCAAGATCACAGAGCTAGTGTGAGGCTGATCCAAAATTCTGAGCCCCATTGTTTTGCTCCTGTCCTCTATCCTACATCACTCCCCCTCCCAAATGCCTTCACTCCAAGGATCAAGTTGAATAGTGGCAGTGGTCTGTGGTACCTGAGTTTTGGAAATGTGTTTCCCATTATGAGTCCATTCTGGCCCCTTCTATCCACAAGGCAGTCTGAGTCTCTTCTTTTAAGAACCCAGATCTCATAAATTACTCTCCTGCTTAGAACCTCCTTGGTAAACAGAGACATGCCATGCCATAGCAAGTAGCAGTGATAACCTCTCCTAGGGAGCTTGCTAGAATCTTATTTCCCCTCTAGAAGCCCCCAGAGCTCATATATAGAACCCCACCCTGTCATTCCAGAGGCTTGATGGCTCTCGTTCAGTTCAGCCTGCCTCCTCTCCTCCCACCTGCCAAGGTTTTGAGCACCGTGTTCTGGGAGGGTTTATATTATTCCTGTGCTTTCAAGTCAAGTAATTTGTATTATTTGACACAGTTCTAAAGAGACCATAGCATTGGTTTTTCTTCTGACATTGACCACAGGCTTTTATTCTACTGTTACACAAGACAATATTATCATAACACTGAACATAGGTATCCAGCCTGATCTATGTGGTATAACTGGGCTTTTCAGTTCTCACAAAACCTTTTTCCTTCTGGGTGGGTCTTTATCATAGCTCACACTTTAAACAGATGCTGTTTCTAATCTAAGATGTGTTATTAATTAGCTAAGTAACTTGTCTAAGTTACACCGTCTTTCTAAGCTTCAGTTTCCTCATCGAGGAGCATGGAGGTAACAGTAATCCCTACCTTATAGGATTATTAGTAAGGCTACATAAGATGATGCTGAAATGACACTAAGTGGATATTTTTAAGATATTAAGCTATTTTAACTTGTTGGAGTCTGAAACTATCATTCTTTGCACCATCCATCATATCCCATGGCCTTCTCCCCACTACACAATTGCTAAGCTTCTGTCCATCTCCCCTGGCCCTTAAGGCAGCCTTCTCAAGCTCTAAACCACATTTTCATCCATCCATACTCTCAACACATTATGAGATATGTAGCTGACCCTTCCATGGTGGACTTCAGTGCCCTATGTCGGTGTAATGTTGCACTGAATTCTGAGTGTTGCCAGGCATGTTGTGCCCTTGAATGTCTCCATCACTTTTTTTAACATTTTAATTTCAGATTTTATGCTGCAGAAATTGCCATCGGCCTGTTCTTCTTACAGAGCAAGGGCATCATTTACCGGTAAGTGAATGCCGCTGTATTTTCTGTCTCCTCATCTCCCTCAGTTCCCCCCTTCCCTGCCTCTTTCTTCAACTGCTTTTAAAATTAGAATCCATGGTGGGGGAGGAATCCTTCAGTACTAACTTGGGCATGTGTTCTGCCAGGCAGCATCGCCCACTGCCCTGGCAAAGTTTGGGCAGCTCTGTATGGATATAGAAAATCTCCATGGACTGTTTCACCAAGGATAGTTCAGCGTCTCGAACATGAGACCGTTTGCCCCAAAGGGAGGAGGCTCACCACTGGGTCCCCAGGACTCTTTCTCTTGCCAATGGACCCTACATTTGGGGAACAAACAACAAAGCTTGACTGGCACAATGTAGTGGGCCATACTTTATTAATTTTTTTTTCTTAGCTATATAACTACAACTTAGACATAGATCTCTGAGTAGCCTGGCCTGAAAGACAGGATTAAGTTCAGGACTTGGCATTTGCCTGTTTTTTTGAGGAGCAAGTGTATGATCATAGCTGCATGAATCATACCATTTTATATTTCATGCAAGGCAGATTATTGAGCCTGAGGCTGCTATTTGTCAGTGAGTCCAGAGTACACAATTCACTCACACTACATGGATGCAAAGGGCATAGCCAATGCAGGCTTGGGTTGCTTTGTTATGCCAGAGAGGCTGGCAGGGCATGGGGCACTCGGTACAGGTGAGGGTCTATTCAAAGATTACCAAGAACCATAGAAATTTAATTTCTTCGTTTGTTTGATAAATATTTATCAAAGGCCTACTATGTTGCTTGACACTATTCTGGATGATGGGAATACAGTAGTAAAGAAAACAGACAAACCTTTCTCCTTTGTGGGGCTTATTACCTAAAAGTGGGAAACGTATACGTCAGTCTTAAAAATAGAGTCTATTAGGTAGTAGTAAGTGCTCTGGAGAGAAAGCAAGCAGGGGAGGGGGCTGGTGTGTGCTGGATGGTGAAAGGTTGCTTATCTGCAGAGGGTATAATGATTAGTGAGTGGGAAGTTAGGGGTGACTCTGGGGCATCCTGGGATTCTTGCTGCAACTGAAGGATATGGAACCAGCAGGCATAAAAAGATGAGCCCTCATGGTTTCAAGGTGGATAGTGAAGGTGGGCTATGGTACTGGTATGATGGAAAAATGGAAGTGAGGAGCCTTGCCAGAAACCTGCAGGGTCCTAGTTGTTTTTTTTTTTTTTTTTTCCCCTCTTGAAGTGGCAATATAAAATCTAGTGCTGCACAGTTGGCCTCGTGGGATCCTGCTGCCTCAATCACCATGCCTCTGGCTGGCCCTATAGTTCTCTTTTAATTCTAAAATGTATGTTCTCCACTTCCTTCTGGCCTCCATGGCTTACCTGAAAATTCCATCTCATTTATCTTTCTTTCTCTTCCTTTTAGTTTTTGTGAAAGGGGAAGTGCACTCCACAGAGATCAAGAGAGGTAGAGAGAGGCAAAGAGAGGAGAGAAAGCACCTTTTAATGGGGCATGGTCACACCTCAATCTCTTCTTCTTCATTTGTCCATTCAGTCGAGATTTGGAGCATACACATACATGTGCCAATGTGTTTGTCAAGCCACCCAGGCTGGGATTTGAACTACACAGTCAGCCATCTGGGATCTGACTTTCTTAACCATTAGGCCATGGGACTAGTCCTCCTTTGTCATTCACACAGTCTCTATGTAATTTGTCCATACCTTGCCCCTGAGTTTTGAACATATAGAATAAAATATTTAATAATGTTTTTTAAAAAAATCTAGTGCCAAAAGGATGATTGTATCTTGAACACACAGAGTTTCCACCATCTCTACTTTCTCCTGATAATAGAGGTATGATGGTTTTACCTGGCACATGGGTGAACCTAGTGACAGTATAGAAATAGAGGGAAGAATTTAAATTTTAAGTCTTATGATTATTCTACCTATGCTTGTCTCTAATGACCATGAATCACCTTGTGTCCTAGATCATATTTGCATTTGCATTGCTCACAGAAACATCTGTGAGTGGGTGAATTTAAGAGAAGAGAGGTTCAGTTGGACTCAGGTCTGGTGGCTGGAAAGTCTAAAAGATCGCAAAGTATTGGAAGACTTACAGCCTGGCCAACAGAAACACTAGAGGATGGGAGAGAGAGAGAGAGAAAATGAACTGCCTACAGAGAACTAACTCTCCTCATGAGAACTGGAACTCACTGGTCTCACAAGACATCATTAAACTAATCACACGAGTGTTATCTCCATGTTGCAATCACCAGGAGCCAATCACTGTCCACTAAACATCACCACCTCCCAACACTGTGTTCCAAAACATGAACTGTTGGGGGACAAACCATAATCTAAACTATAATACTATGTGAGCATGAGAAAGGACATGTGAATCATTTTCTTCCCTCAGTTTTCCTTTTGATTCTCATAGTGAAAGTATTTTTTTGTGCTGAATCTAATTCTGATATTGAAAAGGTATACATTATCTTCCATATGATATGACCCTGTAAATTCAAGCCACTAACTTCAGCTGGTACTTAACCAAAGAAGCATGGGTCATAGATAATTTTATATTTTATATGTTTTCCCCTGATGTGGTGACATTAGGACCTCACTCCTGTGCAGGATGTGCCCCCTCTAGAACTCAACTGAGTTCTTGAGATCTAATATGGTACAAGTTTATTAGAAGAAAATACAGTCTCAGGGTAGAAATCAGGAGAGGTTAACCAATTCTGGTTAACCAAATCAGTATACAGGAATAATTTCCAGCCTAGCAAGGGACTGGATTGGGATCTGAAATCCATGGATCCAAGCCATTGGCCAGTCAAGCCATAAAACCCAAAGATTAGCAAGTCAGGTGCTAAGATCATATCTACTCCAAAGTTCTTTCTCCTAACCTATCTGCAAATTCCCCTTTTCATTTTCCACTTTTAATGGAGATTTTAAAGAGATATTTATCAGTCTTTTAACCGTGTGTGTGTGTGTGTGTGTGTGTGTGTGTGTGAAAGAACAGAGTCCATCTTCTACTATGAGCATTGGAAATGCCAGATCTTCACATTATAGCTTTCCTGTAGTGAGAGCAAGCACAAAAACCAGTCTCTACCATTCAGTCACACTCACCCAAGACCTTGAATCAGAAACTAGTGAGCAAGGGAGCAGAGACTGTAGATTGAGAGTGGCCGTAGTCACCAGCTTCAGCTAGTTTCCAGAGGCAAAAGAAGAGGTTCTTAGCAGTAACATACATAGAGACTGTGTTAATGACAAAGCAGAACTAGTCCCATGGCCTAATGGTTAAGAAAGTCAGATTCCACATTGCTGACTGTGCAGTTCAAATCCCAGCCTGGGTGGCTTGACAAACACATTGGCACATGTATGTGTATGCTCCAAATCCCGACTGGATGGACAAATGAAGAAGCATTAGGACTTCATGGAACAGGGACATTTGTGTCCAGTGGCAGTGGCAGTAGCATCTTTAATGGATGAGCTCTGTGTCATAATTGAGCATTATTTCTGGCTGTGTAGCCTCCCAATCTGGTTCTCCTTAGCGATTCCATGACCTCACCAATATCCCCTTATGAATTCCTTTTCAAGTAAAACTCATCAGATTTGGTTCTGTTGTCAAGAAGCTTGATTGAGACAGTTCTTAAAATTGATAATCAAATGAAAGCTGTATGAAAAGAATGATAAAAGACGTATGGTTTAAATTTCGTAGAGATTGCCTTCATGGTAGTAAGGTAATTTTTTTTTTTTTGAAAGAGAGATTTTTTTTTTCTATTGGGCACTTGCACTCGCTGGAGAGACAGAGAGAGACAGAGAGGCAGAAAGTGAGAAATCACCCCCAGGGGCATGACCATGCCACAGTCCCTGCATTCTCCTCTTGGGATTCTGGGCAAGCACACACATGCACTCTGTGTATGTTTTAAGTTACCAGGTCCGGGACTGAAACTGCGATCGAGTATGTGGGAGTCCTATGACATAATCATTATGCCACCTGCTGGTTCTGGTTGTAAGGTCTTTTAAAATGTCATAAATCACTCTGGCTATTTAGATCTTTAGGTAATTGAATAGTTCTTAAGCCAAGAGGATGAGAAATTATGTTAGATTATGTTTCTCTCTGAGGAACATGGCTAGGGATATTGAGTATGGGGAGGACCAAAGATCCTTTCTATCAAAGTTAGTGCCTGATTTGTTGATGCCATGTCTGGAATGTGTTGGTTTTAAATTTGATGGAATTCTGTAAATGAAAACAATTGCTCCAACCCCCTTTATGAATCAGATATAAAGATTTATTACATGGAACAAAAGAATACAGTGAAATATCAACAGTGCTCTGTGGTAGTACTCTGAACATCTTCTGCCTCTTGGCATTCGAAAATCCCTTTCTATAATAAATGCATATTTTATCACTTCCCTAGTTGACCCAGCTATTTGTTTCTGGGCATGTGGTCAAGTGAAGGGAATGTCATGTGCCACTATCAGTGAAACTACTGTAAACCTACTATGTGTGGGTGAAGCACGTTACTGAAAAGTCCAGTTAGAGTAAGTTCCCATGTTGCATTCAGAGAACTCCATGGCTTATAGATAGGTATGAAGACTGGCTGTGGATAGTACCATGGACAGTGCTGAAGAGAGTGGAATGTGGCTACTGGCAAATCGTGGGTACAGTTTATTCTCCCCTTGAAAGGGAGACCTCACAGACAGATAAGAGAGTATTCTCTCCAGGAGTATTCTTTTTGTTGGCAGTGATGACAGCAACTCAATTCAAACTAACTTTAGTTAAAACAAGTATTTTTGGCTATCATAACCAAGGGCAGATCTGACTTTAGGCCAGGATTGGATGCAGGTGCTCAACTTATACTATGAAAGTTCACTTTATCACTTTTCCTCTAGGTTCTGATTTATCTGTACAGCTTCATTTTGCCCATCTTGGGCAAATGTAAGCTTCTAGACTTACATCCTACCATCTGAGCAATCTCAGCATAAAATGAGCTCATCTCTTTTCTACAGTACCAATGAAAGTGCAAGGGCTGATACTTCATGACTTTGATTGACCCAGAATGGGTTGTTGCTTGTCCATTCCTGAAACAATCACTGTGACCAGTAGGAGAAAATGTTTTCACTGGCTAGTTCAGGTCCACATGACCACTCCTGGAGCCAGGAGTTAGGGCCAGTGCCACCCACATTACATGGCTTAAGAGTTGAGGAAGATTGGTTCTCAAAGCAGTAGGATGCTGTCATCACAATATGCTAGGACAGGCAGATCTCCACAGCCAAGATTTGGGAGAAAAGAGTCTGAATTGAGCAGGATCCCCTCAACTCTCAGGAAGCTGGATATCCTCATCTTCAATTAAGATGATCTATAGACCATCCCTACTCTCCTCTGAAATGTGTTGACAGTGTAGTAGATGTTTAGGGAGGGGGAAAAGGTGTAGATATTGAAGCAGTCCTATATGATGGAGACACGCAAGTGTTCTCCAAACCATGCAGCTCTCTTCATCGACACAGATAGAAATAAAAGAATAAGAGCACAGCACATATCCTTTAGGTTAAAGCTCAGATGTCCCTGCCTTAGACAGGTCCTTGCTAATATTGCATTGTTGGAAAAGCCATGACATATGTTTGCTTAGAAAAACAAAGAAAAATATGTTATGATGTTTCCAATGACCCAATAGCTTGTGCAAAGTGACCTCTCCTAATTACTACCTCATTATCTCCCCTTTTTTTTCTTCACACCACTCATCAGAATCTATAATAATCACATTTGTAGATTTGAATATTTATCAGTAGTCTCTTTTCCTACCCTGGAATTTAATGTAAGAGCCAGATGCTCATTTTTCTTGTTCACAGCTATATACTTAGCTCCAGGCACAGTACCTGCATATACTAGGTGTGCAGCAAATACTTTTTTATTGAAAAAGCTCTTGGAAATTTCTGGGTCATGTCCTAGGAAGTGGCCCCGGAGAGCTTGAAACACTTAGAGTTTAATAAGTTTCTCTCAATCAGTTTTTTTCCTTTATGATCTTCAGCAATATTAAAAAATAATAATTTTATTAACAAATATTTCTTCTTAAAAAATATACAAGGTTCTTAAGTTTTAAAGGTCAACTCTTGGAATTCTTCTGGGTACAAGAAGCTTCAGTGGATGCTCTGTCCTTTGTTTAACTTTGTGTGGATCTCTTTCTTCTCCGAGCTGCTGTCTCATTGTGTCCTCATGAGACACTTGGCACAGTTGGCTTTGAAGGAAACGAGAAGCACAGACGCTCCGGGACCCCTTTCTATCTCCCTGCCAGATTGTAAGCTGTTGGAGGACAAGGGCTGGTTTAGACCCCCTGCGGTGCTGCCACTACATCTAGCAAAGTGTTTCCTGCATAATGAGTGGCTGTTGGTTGACTTGAAATAAATAGCTTTTAATGAATTCCTTTCATTCTGGTCTGCTGCAGTGACCTAAAACTTGACAACGTGATGCTGGATTCTGAGGGGCACATCAAGATTGCTGATTTTGGCATGTGTAAGGAAAACATCTGGGATGGGGTGACAACCAAGACATTCTGTGGCACTCCAGACTACATTGCACCTGAGGTGAGAGCTGACAGGACCCCTCTCGCACATCTGTTCTGCATGATGTGAACTCCCCCTCCACCCTGCTCTCCAGATGGCCCCATAAAACCTGGGAGGGGTCGAGGGTGGTACCTGGCAAGTGAACCCCAGGCTGGTCCTTATCCTCTACGCTAAATCATTCCCTTGAGCTCACACATGCAAATTAACTTAGCACACATCTAGAAGCTCAGGCCTAAAATACATCAAGGTTTGGGAGAAATTTTAAATAAAACTCAAAAGACTCTTCCAACACACATCAGTAAAATTCTTTGTCAAGCTGCTATGGCTCTGGGCCATGTGATGCCTCCTAATTACGACGTCAAAAGGTTTGTTGACAGAGGCAGAGAAACCAGATTCTCTGAGCTGACATATGACACAGGGTCTGTGTACTATGTATATACTAGTTATTATGAACCCTGAAAGACTCAAGTTTTTCTTCCTGTGGTTAAGATATACATAAAAAGGTGAGGGTTTATCTCTAGTATTTCTCTTCCCATCCCGGAGGAAATGGTCAGCAAATGGTCAGTCTTCCCACTGTGACACAGCACGTACTTTGTGCCAGGTGACCAATTTCTTTTTCTTTGAATTGGTGCTTGGAAAGGTAGCATTCAGCAATCTGTTCCTGGCTTTTGAGGAAAGAAACTGAAGGTGTGGCAAAGAATCTGGGAAATAGACATTCTAGAATTTCTCTTTTCTTGACTGTTAGGCACTCGACATGTAACAATGGTGATGGGAGGCCCCATGTAACGAGATAACTTGGCATAAATCCAAAACCCACACGCTCTGGTACTGAAGAGTTCCTGTTCTAGAACCTAGTTTACACCCCCCACACACATATTCACAGGCACACATACACACAAGGGTGGGAGAATATGTGTTCAAAGTGTTTCCTTTATTTCAGGACTGTTTCTCAATAATGAAAAATAGAGAACTTCAATGACTATCAATAAAGGAAGGATTCATTAAAATATGCTGCATTCATATTAGGAATCCTCTTCAGGCCTTAGAAAGGTCTAAGTATATCTATATGATATGCTAACTTGAGGCAATGTTCCTCAGTGGGGGAGTGCACAATAAACTGTGGTTGATTTACAGCACGAAATACTACAAATTCAAATGATAGAGTTATATAGAGAAATAGATACAGATAGATATGAAAATATTTTCAAGACATATTGTTAAGAGAAAAAAAACATGGTATAAAATGATAAATACAATAGGATATCACTTATGGAAAAGAACAATGATACATAGACTGCCACTACATGTTTTCTATGAATATGTATTTGTGCACTTAAAACATAGAAATCTGCGAGCTAACAGGTGGTACAGTGGTTAAGGCACTGGACTTTCACATAGTCCACTGTGGTTCGGGTCCCAGATCCAGTGGCTTGAAACTCCTGCTGGGTACATGCGTGCGTGCATGCCCAAAGTTCCAAGAGGAGTGTGGAGGAGAGGGGATTGCAGCATGGCCATCTCCCCTGAGGGGTGATTTCTTGCTTTCTATCTCTCTACCTCTGTCTCTCTGGTGAGCACACACACCCTATAGCAAAATTCTCTCAAAAAGGCAAAAACAAAAACAAAAAACATGCAAATCTGAAAGATCACAGGTCGATTTTTTAAAAAAGTTTATTCATTTGTTCCATGAGTGAGAGAGATAGAGAAAGACACAGCACTATCACAGGGCGATGCCATGACCCACCCCCAGCCTCAGCCAGCCCAAATCATGGGCACACACATGCCTGGCATACTCAGGGAGCTCTTCAGATTCAAACTAGCAACCTTCTCATGTCGGTCTACTTTGCAGAGCACCAAGGTTTACTTCTGCACCACCATCCATCTCCCATATGGACTGCCTTTATTTTATAATGTTTGCCTTTGAGAATAAGGGCTTGTTAAAGAGAAATTTTATTCCATTTGATGCTATTTTTTTTAGAGGTTTTTGCTATAGGGCACGTGCACTCACCAGACAGACAGAGAGAGACAGAAAGATAGAAAGCGAGAAATCACCCCCCCAGGGGGGATGGCCACACCACAATCCCTTCTCCTCCATTCTCCTCTCAGGATCTTGGGCACGCATGCACACGTGCCCGATGTGCGTTTCAAGCCACCGGGTCCGGGACGCGAAATGTGGTCAACTACGTGGGAGTCCAGTGACATAGCCATTACGTTAACTGCTGGTCCCCCATTTGATGCTATTTATATTTTTCACAAAGTAAATGTATCTGTGTATTAGTTAAGTAAAAATAAAACAATTCTTTTTAAAAATTAATTTTTTATTAGGGTCCAGCAGAATTTTCCCTATGGGGCCTACTTTGATTTACTATCATTTTGTTAATTAATTAGGCTATCAGACACAATCTATAACACAATTCCTTGATGTGCTAGGAATCTGGTCATCTCTGGTTCTCAACTCTAGCTGCACTTTAGAGTCACAGGGGAGGTTTTAAAATATAGGATTCCCAGGCTCTTCCTACATCAATTGAATTGGTATCACTGCAAGGTGGGGCCCAGGATCCACGGTTTTCCAAACAGCAAAGACAGAACTGCCATATAATCCAGCAATACTACTACAAGCTGTATGTCTAAAGGAAAGGAAATCAGAACGTCATAAAGGTGTTGTACCCCGATGTTGATTGCAGCACTATTCATAGTAGCCAAGATGTGGTATGAAGCCGTGTCCATCAATGGACAAATGGATAAAGAAATTGTGAGATACAGACACACATGCACACAATTGAATACTATTCAATGATTAAAAAGAAGTAAACGCTTTCATTTTGAGGCAACATGGGCAAATCCTGGAGGACATTATGTAAATAACCCAGGCACAGAAAGAGAAATGCTGCATGCTTTCAGTCATAGAAGAAATTACAAAATGACTTCACAGAAATGGAGAGTAGAATAGTGATTAAGAGAGGCCGGGAAGTCTAGGGAGATGCGGGGGATAGAGAGATGTTGGTTAATTCAGTGGACCTTAACGTTTTTGGCACCTGAGACTGGTTTTATGGAAGACAATTTTTCCATGGACCAGAGCAGTTGGGGTGGGTGGTGGGGATTAAGAATGATTCAAGTGCATTACATTTATTGTGCACTTTATTTCTATTATTATTACAGTATAATATATGATGAAATACTTGTACAACTCACCATAATGCTGAATCCATGGGAGTCTCCCTGCAACTAAATGGTCTTATAGGCAGGCTCCTATGAGAAGCTAATGTCACTGCCGATGTGACAGGAAGTGGAGCTCGGGCAGTAACATGAGCGATGGGGAGTGGCTGTAAACACACACGATGCTTTGCCAACTCGCCTGACACTCAGCTCTTTCTATGTGGCCTGTTCCTCACAGATCATGGACCGATACTGGTCTATGGCCTAGGGATTGGGGACCCCTGGGCTAAGATACACAAACGTACTATTTGATAAGAGGAACACGTAACTAGTCTTACATGTACAGCAAGGTAACTACAGTTAACAATCCTTTATTATATATTTCAGATGAACTAAAAGAGGATTTTAAATGTTCCAAACACAAAGTAATGACAAAGGTTTGAGATGATGATATGCTATTTTTCTATGCAAAAAATGTATCCTGACTTTCCCAATGACCTAATAATTACCCTGATTTAATCATTACACATACTATTTGTTTTTGTTTTTGGATTTTGGATTTTGTGTTTTTTTTTTTTTTGAGAAGTTTTTGCTCTAGGGGCATATTTGCTCTCCAGAAAGACAGAGAGAGACAGAGAGACAGAAAGCAAGAAATCACCCCCAGGGCAGATGGCCACGCCACAATCCCTTCTCCATTCTCCTCTTGGGATCTTGGGCATGCACACACACGCGGCCGGGGGGAGTTTAAGCCACCGGGTCCAGGATTCAAACCGCTGTTGGCTACATGGGAGTCTAGCGACATAGCCATTACGCCAACTGCTGGTCCCCACATAGTATTTGTGTACTAAAAAGAATTACAAGGTACCCCACAAACAGGTCCAATTATTTTATTAAGCAAAATAATAATGATACTACAAAAACAAACAAAAACTCCAGAAGTTCCTGTGGGTGACAAGGCCTGTGAGCACAAAAAGCCCCGAGTTCTGCTGGTGAGTTGCATCCTCCTCCAACCCACCCATGGGAGGAACAAGCTGCAGGTCAGGCTTTGCTATAACTCATCACATCACCTCTAGCGACTCCTTTTATCTCCCTAGGCTCTATTTTCCTTTATAAAAGGATTAATTTGTTGGGTTGTTATGAGGATGGAAGAACACATGACGTAGTTTACAAGTGTGAAAACACTTTCAATAAGTGTCCTCATGAAAAGCTTTCCCTCTAGTGTCTTATGATTGCCTTTCTTCTAAGTACCTTTCCTTTATAATTGACCAATAAGAGTGTATATATTTACTGTGTACCACAAGTTTTGAAATATGTGTATATTGTGGAATAGCTAAGTCAAATTAATTGATACTGATTTTTGCATTACCTCATATGTGAGGAGTTTTAAAGAATTCGTAGAAAATATGTATTAAACAAAAAGAAAGAGAAAAAATCTATACACGGATTTCAAAAAATTTTTGCACTGAAAATAAACTTGCACTCTAATTCCAGTTTTCCATGAACATTGTGAAGTCCCTTCATACTTATTTTTTTGTAAAGAACACTTAAAATCTACTCTCAGCAGTTTTCAAGAGTACAAATGTTATTAACTACAGTCACCATATTGTATAATAAATCTCTTGAGCTTATTCTTCCTATCTAACTGAGATCTTGTATCCTTTGACCAACATCTCTGCATTGCTAATCTTAGAGGAGAAAGAATTTGAGAAACAGACATTTGCCTTCTAGCCAAGTTTGCTTAGATACTTTTATTGAGTGAAACAACACTAACTGAATTAGAGAACATTCTAGTAAATAGATGACATTTTGAGGGCATAATTTGTGTGAGCCCTTAGAATCTTATCCTCACAAAACCCCATGCAGATATAAGAGGACATCTATTTTTCATGGAAAAATAGAATTAGCATATGAGTTTATTTTGCTGCAAAAAATTCGGACATCCATGCAGTTTTTTCATAATATGAATTTTCTGTGACCTTTTTGAGCCCCATGACCCTGGTTCATGTCCCAGCTCAGGAACTCCCTGGGCATGCCAGGCATGCATACTCGTGCCATGATCCAGATTGGCTGAGACTGGGTGTGGGTCATGGTGTGAGGACCCTGTTGAGGACACCTCTATGTGTCTCTCATGGAGGAACTAAATGAATAAACTTAAAAAAAGTATAGCTGGGTTGTTCTTCCTGTCTAGTCTTTGAGACATCTGGGGCTGTGACAGCCATTACAACCCTTCACCATAGGCCGTGACTTGCCAAAGAACTCTCCCTCCACCTTGTGCCCTAGTAAAGATGCACTGTTATTGTAATCTCCTGCTACAACATGAACTTCGAGCCTCCTGATGGATTATTTTCTGTTTTCCAGATAATTGCTTATCAGCCCTATGGGAAGTCTGTGGATTGGTGGGCATTCGGAGTTCTGCTGTATGAAATGTTGGCTGGGCAGGTAATTGAGTTTTAAGTTATTTGTAAAAAAGTCCTCCTGCACACCCATCCACATGGTTTCTTTGAAACAAAGTGTCAGCTTGGCAACAGCTCATAAATATGAACCCTATGACTTACCTGGCCAGTTATCCAGGGCTGTTGGCCATTTCTCCTCTTCTTGAAAGCCCTGGAGTGTAGCTGCACTGTAAGCTCTCTGGGGGAGGGCTTGCTGGTTTGGGGCAGTTTGGGGGAGGGTTCAGGCAGGGATTCTTCTCCTACCCTACTCTCTATCCCATAGGCACCCTTTGAAGGGGAGGATGAGGATGAACTCTTCCAGTCCATTATGGAACACAATGTGGCTTATCCAAAGTCCATGTCCAAGGAAGCTGTGGCCATTTGCAAAGGGGTGAGTAAGCGTCTTAAAGCATGAAGCCAGGACCACCACATACAAGATGCAGGTTGTGCCCTGCTCAAGGATGTTCCTTAAGGGTGAAGTGAAGTCTAAATAGCATCCTCACCCCATATGCCAATGCAAGAGCCCTGGCATGGAGCTGCTACCTCTCAGAGGAAAGAGAGCTCTTTTTCCTAATTTGTACAGAAACAGTGTAGAAGTTCTTGTAATGGTGTCTTGCTGTTGGCCAGGGTGTAGCCTCTAGACCAGCACAGGGGAATGCTTATTGAATGAGTGGGCTAGGCAGCATGAGTACTTTGCCAAAGAGCTAGATCCCATGGAGTGGGCCACCAGAGTTCTTCAGCACAACAGGGCCTACCTTGTCCTACTGTGCTGCATAAGTGTTTGGTTAATACCAAGAGTGTTTGAGTTTTATTCTAAAAACATATCAGGTAGCATCCAGTTTAAGGGATTCTGTAGATGTGGTGGCCCAAATTCAGTGTCCACAAACCGTTGCTCTTCTCCACTCCCACTCCTATATACACACGAACGTCTGGCAGGGCACACACACTGACACACCTGCTGTTTATGTGAACTGCACCTGTGAAGAAAGCAGGGCACATATTTATGAGTAAGGGTTGTTTGGTATGCATCATGTATTGGGCCAGGACATGCTTACAGTGACCTAAACGAGGACCCTAGAGATCAGTGGTCCCCACCTTAGGAAGTACTAAGATAACCTGAAGTGCTTTCTCAAAATCCACAGACCTCAGCCTCACCCCAGAGAGTAAGTCTGGGCATCAGTATTTTGAAAGGGGCTCCATTAATTTACTGCCATTATATGTACTGTCCAAATGAAGTAATGTTTCAACTCTGACCAAAGGGTGACAGGAATGCTGTGAGCTTCTCCAAGAATATGATCTGAGCGTGATGCATCTATAAACTATTTGCTCTCACCAGTCAGCAGTGCAGGTGCATTTTCGTGGTTAGAACATGGCTGTGTCTTAACTCTGGGCTCCATCTGTGTGTCTGAATAAGCCAGGTAGCCGGTCCTAGGTTTGAGGATGTTTGCAGATTGTCAATGCCCTGCCCAGGCTTGTTCTTCTAACAGTCAGATGTCATATAAGCTGGCTCATGTAAAGGAGAGCTGGGCAGCTCAGCCAGCAACCTGAAGCTTGGCCCAGTTTGTAATAGCTGGACTGACCTCTCAGCTTAAAAGTACTTTGTGATGCTGCCTAAGTTCCTACTCACGGTGAATCATCTAAGCTTTGTGTTTCAGCTATGTACATTAAGATGCTCATGTCTCTGGGAAACCACATGTGGGTTATTCTCAGTCTCTACCATCTTAAAGTGATTGGTTTAAATATTTTGAGGATACGAAGCAGAAGAAGGAAAAATGTAGAGAAGAGAGTGGAGACCCAGAGGTTCATTAGGAGCTTAAGCCAAGCCTATAGGTAAAAAGAGGGCAGACTAAGACCAGTGTAGACCCCTGCAAACATTTTACCTGGGGGAAAAGGGGATGGGGAGGAGATCAGACATTGAACTTTCAGTTTCTTTACAAATTTCCAATGTTAAGGGGCTGGCAGGTGGCAGGGTGGTGAAGGGCATTGGACTCCCTCCCACATGACTGACCATGGTTCTTGGACCTGGGGGCTTGCTTTCTCACTTTCTCTCTCATCTCTCTCTCTTTCTGTGTGTGTATTTCTCTTTCTCTCTCTCTCTGGAAATATTAAAATAATAATAATAAAGTTAAATAAAATTTTAAAAATTTCTGATGTTGAAAGATCAGGAGATTTCTCATAAATATTCAACTTTCCAGTTTCTCTTGAAAAAGTCAGATCTTGCCATGTTGGCCTGTCATTCCTGCAGAGCATCAGTGAGCTGATCGGAAACCATGTGCCCGCTTTAATTTGCAGAAATCCCTTTGGCCTAATTCCATCTGGATTCAAAATTAGCCCAGGCATTGTTAACTCTGACCATGGGCAAGTTCTGTGACCTCACCTGTAGGCCGGGGATAATAAGAGCATACATACGAGGTTCTTTAATGGTTAATGAGTTAACCTATAAACTAGAGCCTGTCATTCTGCTCCGAAACCTTTGGGCTATTATAATTACAACGACAGTCCACTTTTATCCAAGGGGGATATGTTCTAAGATGCCCAGTGGATGCCTGAAACTATGGATAGATCCGCCCTATACATACCATGTTTTTTGTATACCTATGTATCTTTAGTAAAGTTTAACTAGTAAATTAGGCATGGTAAGATTAACTAGAATAATCAATAACAAAATAGAACAATTATAACAATATGCTGTAACAAAAGTGAAGTGAGTGTAGTCTCTCAAAATACTTTAGTATAGTCCACTTACATATTTTTGGACCATGGTTGATGGTTCAGTTAACTGCGGACCTCAGACCTTGGGTAAGGGGACCCATGGCATTACTAATGCTGGCACTACTGTGTTACATGCCAGGCCCTTCTTGAAATTTGAGTTTGCATCCTTTGCTGAAGAAATTTTACAAGTGGGAAATTTGGGAGATCAAGAGATCCTTTGCAAATCTTGACCCTTCCACTTTCTAGGTGTGTGGTGTTAAGCCAGTTCTTTGCATCCCTGGGTTTCTGTTTATCTCTAAACACAGAAAAATAGAACCCATTGAACAGAGTTTTTGAGCGCATTAAATGGAGTAACACAAGAGAAAGATTTTTTAGACAGTGGTGGCACATAGTAGGTCCTCAATACAAGCACAGGGTCTTCCCTTTCACAAGCTCGCTCTGCCCAGACGGCAGGGTTCTAAGTGGGTCATGGAGAGAGAGGCTTTTCCAGGTCAGCTGCATTCAGCTTCAGCTCCAATTAGCTGTTTCCCTGGTAGAGCAGTTTTCTATTAATTCAGGACCCATAACCTTAGAGATTAACTGAGGTGACTTTCTTACTCTTGGGTGTGAGGACCTTTCTGAGTTGAGTGGGCTGAGTCTGATATGGGCTCTTTCTTCAAGGCTGATGCTCCAGAGAAGGGATGATGCTCAAGTGAACAGCCAAATGCTTCCTCCTGAACTGCAGGCCTCAGGGGATGCGTCTGGGAGGTGATCACAGATCGGAACAGTGATTAAATCCAGCTGTCTACATGGCTTCAGGCACATCAGAGCAGAGTGCAGGAACTGGGCAGAGACTTCGAATTAGTGCTGATGTTTCTGCGGTGGATTTTCTTCGCTTGGCATCCTCCTGCTTAGACGGAAATTGAGCTAGGGTTTTGAAAACAGTCACCCTTCCAGCTGATATCGTCTTTTGTGGGTTCATCCCATTAAAGCCTCTCTTTTGTACCATGCCACCCCCCCAAAAAAATTAGTTGAACTTTACTTGGATTGCCATT